GGGAGAGAGAGAGAGAGAGAGAGAGAGAGAGAGAGAGAGAGAGAGAGAGAGAGAGAACAAAAGTTATAGACGAAAGGCGAAGCCGACTTGTAGCTAGATCTAGATAAAAATACACGGCATGGCGTTGTATAGCCTAGGCTACATCAAAGAGTACTATCTTTGGCTACATGCAATGCAATGCAGTTGCACTTGCACGAGTAGCATAGGCTAGCAAAACAATTAAATCGGGCTGCATGTCTAATTGATGGCTTCTTGTAAGGGCTATATAATAGTACTTGTAGTAGGTCTTTTAAACAACGTTGCAACACCCTTCACTTGTCTAGCAACTTCCGAATAATTATGACAATGCGATCATGCTCTCCACCGAGGGATTTTTTAATTTTATTTTTCAGTCCTCAAAGAGTCCCCTCTGTTGTCCAAGACTTTGTTGAACGTGACGGGCTCGGCGACCTTTCGGGAATTCCCAGAGTGAATGCTGGGCCTAGCTTAGGCCTATCGATCTGTCAATGACTAAAGAAGAGATCCCGTCATGCTTTGCCCGCTCGGAATATCATGGCGGATGGGTTTGATTATGAATCGTAAAGGACCAGGAGGGTCTCGCCTTCCAGGCAAACGGAAAGGAGATAAGCCTAATAGAATAGTGAGAAGGAATATTTCCATTCACGGTAGAAATTTCAGAATATTTGCCACACCACTGCTAGTTATTTTCATATTTGTTCGATCTCTAGCGTATCAGTTTTTCTTAGCGATTATTTTGGTAGCCCAGTACAGCAGACGAATCGTCACTGGCTCGCGACATCAACTCCGCGGAATCGAAGCTTGTCCAGCCACCCCCATCACAACCATGTCTAACAATTCAAGAGGCAAAACTACACTTGGACCAGGAGAACCTGCGTTGGCTACTCAGAAAAAACACCACAGAAAGGCATTTGAATATATTTCAAAAGCTCTAAAGATTGATGAAGAGGATGGAGGTGAGTGAGTCAGTCTCAGTCTCAAACTCTTAAAAAAACAAACCTCAACAACTTGGCCAGTTGAGTTTACAGAATCTCTTCAAGTCAACATTAGAATGAATAGTTAGTTAAAATTTAAGTTAAAGTCCAGAGATAGAAATCTTGTAGTTTATCTTATGATCTTGTCACTAAGGTACTTAGAAATTAGATCTAGATCTAGATCTAGATCTATATATATGTAGTAATACATTCTTGAAGTCTAGATTCTAGATTCTAGAGATGTCTTAAATATTAGTTGTATTGTAATTAGATCTAGATCTATATCATTTTGATAAATTGCAAAAAAGGCTAGCTAATAATGAATGTTACCATTTCATCATGAAGCCTACTTGTAGACCCTAATTCAGACTTGGTGGAATCGTGTGTATTTTAATATAGAGTAAACGTACCGGTTCGGGCAGCAGGGTTTTTTTTTCGTTTTCGGGCACTGGAGCTAAAAAAATCGTTAAATTTTGTTTTTAAATCTAACCCCAAAAGAGTCATTTTATTTAATAACAGTGGCGCACAAACCTAAAGCAACCTCCCTTACTTTCGTTGACACTACAGTGACGGTGGCATTTTGCTAAAAATAACCCTTAAGACAGCTTTTTCTTCATCAACTGAGCAAAACAGCGTTCAAAGCTCTTCCCCCGGAAGAGTACATCATTGGTTGTGGATGTTGAGCCTGTGGCCTTTATTCTACGTTTTGTTGAACTCTGAAAGCTAGAGAGTTACTTTAGATACATGAGGCCCTTTCAAGGATGAAAGAGAATTTGCAGTTCAGTCACGCCGTTTTTGCCCAACTGGGGGGTGCCCGGAGTGTTAAATAAAATGCGTAGTTTCTCATCCTTCGGGCACGTAAAATATTTTGCCAATGTTTATATAGATCTATAAAGAATCTGAAAGACTTTGTGCATAATTTAGATAATAGAAGTAGAGTCAGATAGCTGAGTCAGACACCAGTGTAGTAGAGTCAGTACCAGTTTAGTTGAGTGAGCCAGATACCAGTGTAGTAGAGTCAGACCAGTGTAGGAGAGTGGGTCAGATACATTATATATATATATCTAGATTCTACTCATTAAAATAGCTATAAAAATGGTGAAAACCACTTTAGAATACACTATCAATACTTCTATCATTGTGTCCAAGTGTTGATAACAAGCATTAAGAACCGTGTTATTAAGCTTGCAAAGAAACAATGACAATACTGAAAATGACCGAATGTCAAAATACTGCCCGAATCCATGAGAAAACCAAAAAAATGTGACCGAACACGTAAATAAATCTGGTGTCACTTTCGCACCCAGTCAGGGACTCAATTTATATGTGAACAAGCTGAAACAGTACATTCCTGGGGTCATCCAATCACAGGGCTTCCACTAGCAAGTTTCGTTTTACCTCTCGGGCAAGGCAGATAGAAAGCTTTAACTTTAAAGTTGACATACACCTATTTTCTCCTAAATTTTGTCCGAATGGTAATTATATTAAAACTCTATTAGAATTTGACCCTCAGGTCTGTGATAATTAGATCTATTGTTTTTTGTAATTCTCTTCACTTACTGTCATAATTATGATAAATACCTTTTTATAATTTCTTAATAGCTTTCCCTGTGTGTGAATACACACCAAAATTTTATAAAAGCTAAAATCCCTGTGTGACTACAAAAGAAATAGAGATCCATATGAAAAGGGTGGGCCATCATGTTTGTTTCGTTCGATGGCAATTCTTGTAGAAGTGCCCCATCTAGTGCTTGATATGAGCAACACAGTGAGGCATGTAAGGTAGTGATCCAAAACTCGAGTGATCTGAAGACATTTTCGGTGAATTTTTAAAATTTGAAGTGACTATTTCTCCGAACGCTCGGGAAAATAAAGTAGAACTCTGTTTCTCAGAACGGTTTCTGATCTCGATATTTTTTGGTTATTTGCAAGATTTAGGCGTCATGATCCTTTCATTCTAACAACTGCCTTTCTGCAAGGACTGGGAGGAAGCATTTTATATGCTTCGAATTAAATTTCTAGAGCTAGAGATTTTTAAATGTCTGAATATTCAGATATTCAGTTGTGGATGGGGCAACGTTCCCGGACAATACTTCATTTGAAAATACCTTCAAAAGGTACAGCGAGAAAACAAGACTGCTTGACCTTGGCAGTAACCTATTTTGCATTTTTAGTCACCCAGGAAAAACTAAAATCCTTCATATTTTAAAAAATCCACCCCCCCCCTCCCCCGTACACATCTTACACACGCACACATGCACACTCACACACACATACACTCTCTCACACACACGATACACACGAGCCACTCCATTTGCTTATTATCAACAAATCTAGAGGACTGAAACGGTCCGGAGAAATAAAGTTCAAGTTTATTTTCCAGAACGTTCAGAGAAATAGAGGCGGCCTTTTTTAAAAGTTAAATTTAATATAATAGGCCTAGAGTTTATGGTTTTTTACTGACAGAGGGCTAATTCTAAGAGGATTTAGAATTCAATTACAGAAAGAAAACAGCCAGGAAGACCTGAGGGTCAGTGATCTTTCTCTCTGAATCGACCATTGAAGTCATCTGGAATAAAAATTATAAAACCTTTTGATCGATTTCATAACTAGTCCACTGCTATTACTGATTAAGGGTGGAAGGAAAGTTTTAAATCAAGTACTTCAAGTGTCTTGTTTTACCCCTGACTAGATCTAATCTCATAATTAGGCCTACACCCCTGAAAATGAAAGTCATGAAAAGAGAAAAATTATGCAGCTCGCTCTTTAAGTTGGCTTGACATTAATGTTGCAATAAGTTCCTGTCTCTAAAATAACGCTTATTATAAAGGTGCATTTAAAAGACACATATTTCCTCATGATACCACGAGCCTGCCTTTTGGCTGCTGCTAGTAAGGAGATTTGAAGTGCATACTGGTGTAAATGCGATGCATGTCCGTAGATTGTTTGGGGGTTCTTTAGGTTACCAGCTTTTGCTCTTCTTTCTGTCCCACTGTGGTTGTGGCTGTTAGTTGTTCTAATGGTTTAGAATTAAACAAGTGAGGAAAGACTCAATGCCGACAATTATGGACTACTTCTGATCAGAGATTATATTATATTTATTGTGTAATACTGTACAAAACAAATAAAATGTGGCACTGCGCGGTGGAATCAGGCGCTCGTCAATTTTTTGTGCATGTGTGGAGTTATTGGTATCATCTTAAAGCTTGTTCTTTTATCTTGCTTTGATAAAAAAAAAATACCCACCTATCTTGAGCAGATATATTTTTGTGATTGAAAGATGTAAGATCACTTGGTTTCAGCGGTAAAAATAGCCGCCAAAGTTTGGTAACTTCAATAACTAGGAGTCCTTGAATTTATCTGAAAATTACTAATATAATATTTTGAGCTTTTAATCAACTATTTTCAATATATTTCATATGTGTTTTTATTGAACGAAAAACCAAAAATTTTATTAAAATTGCGAAACTGGTGGGAAAAATGCCCGTTTCTCCAACTTTGTTGTTTTGACGAGCGCTTGATTTCACCTTGATATCTCACTATATATTTCATTGTCTCTTATTCTAATAAACGCTTTTTTCAGCTCGAAAAGACATTGCAATGGAGCTCTACAAGAAAGGAATTTCAGAATTGGAGAAAGGAATTGCTGTTGATGTTTGTGGTCAAGGTGTGTTTTGAAACAATTTTCTTTCTTTCCAAGAAGTAATGCTACTTGCTAATTCTCTCCTTCACTCTTACGTGCAAAAGCATAATTCTAATTGATTCATTATGTAACGATTTATACACTTTGAGTTATTGGATTAAATAGGTTGATAATATTTATACATTTAATCAACTGCATACTTTTCACACATGATAATACAAAATATGTGTAAAGGCCTTATTATGTTGGCAGTCATCTGAAAAGCTTGATGCTGAGGTTTGAGGTGTGTGATAATTAAGGTGAATTAAGTAGTCATTTTTTTACAATAAAAATGTTTGCATTCATGTCAGTTTGAATTGCTATGCCACAGGGTTGGGTTGATTTAAATCAGGTTGATTTAAATCAGTTGATTTTAAAAATTTAAATCAACTTGATTTTTTAATAAAAATCAGTGATTTAAATCACTTTTTAAAAAATTTATTTTTATTCAGTTTTTACATATTTCAACATTCAGAATTCCTTTCCTTGGTTTCATAAAACAGATGGTTAAGTAGACTAATATAATCATGCTTAAAAGTCTGCTTTCCCTCCTTTCACTGTAAAATAATACAGTATTCAATTTACTTTTTTTTTCCATTATTAAAATCAGAGCTGGGTTGATTTAAATCAGTTGATTTTTAAAAATTTTAATCAACTTGATTTTTAAAATAAAAATCAGTGATTTAAATCACTTTTTTAAAAATGTATTCAGTTTTTATATTTATTTGTACATTCAGAATTCCTTTCCTTGGTTTTATTAAACAGATATAAGGTTTAGTAGACTAATATAATCATGCTTAAAAGTCTGCTTTCCCCCTGTCACTGTAAAATAATACAGTATTCAATTGACTTTTTTTTCATAATTGAAATCAGGGTTGTGTTGATTTAAATCAGTTGATTTTTTAAAATTTAAATCAACTTGATTTTAAAAATAAAACTTAGTGATTTAAATCACTTTAAAAAAATGTATTCTGTTTTTACATCTTTAAACATTCAGAATTCCTTTCCTTGGTTTTATAAAACAGTATATAAGGTTTAGTAGACTAATTTAATCATGCTTAAAAGTCTGCTTTCCCCCCTGTTACTGTAAAATAATACAGTATTCAATTTACTTTTTTTTTCATTATTGAAATTAACATTTTCTTTTTCTTTTTAGACAAACACAAGCACGCGCGCACACACACACACACACACACACACACACTGTAATAAAATGCAAGTTTATCTATGCATAATTACCCCCCCCCCCCCCCCCTTCCTTTTAGACTGACATTTTCTTCATTTTTTCTCTGTAGCCATAATTCACTGATATATATATAGCAGATTAAGGCATTCTTTTGCGGTTGCTTAAATTAATCATTAGTTAAAATAAAGACAATGCATTTTACACTAAAAGAACATACTTTTAGCAACCAAAAATCCCAAACTGTGTCGACATAAAAAAAAAATCCGATTTAAATAACAAAAATCGATTTAAAAAATTTTTATTTTAAAAATCAAAAAAATCACCAACCCTGCTATGCCATGAAATTAAGTTTTTTTTCAGTTCATGGTTGTAGGAATAAAAATTTTTTTGGTGCTTATTTTTATCTTTAAGGTGAAACATATGACAGAGCAAGGAGATTGAAAGACAAGATGCAGACAAACCTTGTGATGGTTAAAGATAGGCTAGATATTCTTGGTAAGTTATTTTCACATTTTGCCACTCTCACTGTGAATGAATATTGTTCAACGCTAATCCCAGTATTTATAGTTGTGGAAAAACATGTTGCTTTTCCTGTATTTTTGTGCCATAAACACCCATTTTAAACTACGAAGTAGAGAACACAAAACTCTGCAGTTTGTTTTTTCTGTCACCTTGTCATTTCATTAATTTTTATATATCGACATTGATTATACTTTGCTTCAACTGTATCAAGAGAATTTGAGTGCTTCTGAAAGTTGCGCATAAAAAATTATCAGAAGATGTATTGTTTTTGTCCTGTCTTGATTTTTGCCAATGCTCAGGTTTGGAACAGCTATATATATATATATATATATATATATATATATATATATATATATATATATATATATATATATATATATATATATATATATATATATATATATATATATATATATATGCTTCGTCCCTTAAGTTCCATAGGTAGCTATGAGTGGAAACACTGAAGAGATAATATTATATGCCCACTCAGCAAGTTTTCATTCCTTTCTTTTATCACTCACACTCAGAATTTTGTCTCACCTGTTGCATAGCATTGTCTCATTTTTTGCTCATCTGCCTCACCTAGCTTTCCTGCTTGATGTTAGATTGTGTTTTTCGAAAGTATGAGACTGTAGATCTTAAAGTATGTGAATAGAACTTGTTTGATTAAACTGAATTGCAGTGATGGTACACCACGTCTCAAATGGTAATATCAATATCTGCTCATGGTAGTTTAATTTCATATCACCAACCTTTGATATTGATGTTTTTTCCTTCAAAACTGTGCATGTTTCTCTTTAGTTAAGTGAAACATTTTTGTATGGTTTGGAAAAAAATCATTCAGCATGTGATGTTTGATGTTGTAATTATTTCCATGTATCAGTATGATTAATGATGCTGAAAGTTTGAACGGGCTCAGCATCTACAATGTGGAAGGATGGAGAGTAACCTTGAAGGACCTCAATTTTCTATTGTGTCTTGTGTCTCTGTTATATATTTTATTTTTAAAAACATTTCAGTGTTGATGGAAAATTATTTTGCTTTCTGGACGAATTTCTTTTTCTTCTGTGGTTTTATTGATCTTAGGAAATCAGGCGCTCGTCATAACTTGACATAAGGATGAATTGAAGAAACCAATATATTTCTGCCGATTTGGGAATTTTAATGGAATTTTTTTAGCTCAACACCTTTTATGGACATTTTAAAACACTTTTCTGTGTGCATTTTACTGCTAAAAAACTTTGATCAAATGTGAAAAAAATCTAAACCAATAACTCCATATGCCCCAAAATAAACGAGCGCCTGATTCCACTGTGCCATGACACATATTATTTCAGTAGTGGTTTTTCAAACAATGGGGCTCATGCTTATCAGTTTTTCAACAAAACTTTTCTAGAGTAACCATTAAGGAAAGGACACAATACCTTCAGTTTTTCCTTTTTTATCTTTTTTTTCCCCCCCTGGTGATGATTTGGTTGTCTTGTTTCAAGGTGTACACAAAGTACTATGAAGCTTGCCAATGCATACTCAGTGTGAATATGTGATCTTTGTATAAAATTTAATGTCAGTTTGTGAAGATGTCAGTTTGTGAATTTTTTGGTGTTAGATGTTGTCTCTATATCTTGGTTTCTTATCACTTTTTGTTCCTTGCACTGTTTGATCCCTTTCATTTACCCATAGAAAAACAAGCAGAGTCAATGAATTTCGATGAGAAAACACAGGATAAAGCCGCAGCATCAGACACAGAGGCATCTTCTCTAGGGAGATTAAGACTGGAGGATAAGCCCTCTACTTCAAGAACAAAGGATAGTTCGAAGCATTCCTCCCAGTTCAGTAGGCCATCATCAGCCCTCAGTGGTACAAAGGCACCCTCAAGATTTGTCAGTCATAATCAGACAGGTATGATGTGGGTGCAGCAGTACTATACTTAACCTGCAACTAACTCTCCAAATGCAGATTTTACTACACGAATAAAATCTTATTGCTCACCATTACTCTGAAATGTTTAATTTTAATGACTGACTTTAATGGCATCTGTCCAGAAGAAAATATCTTTCTCTTGAGAGTTGAAAGGTTAGACTAATTTTCAAATTAGTGCTCTCAATTTTATTTAGTTCTTTTCCTTCCAAGAATGGTTTGTATTGGTTTAAAATGGAAACATACATATATTAAAATATTTTCATAATGATTTAGTAGACCGATTAAAGCGTGGTATTGGAGGAGCATCCCTAACTCTTGTTCTTAAAGTAAGTTGTATTAAGTGTTATTCTGTACAGATTTATGTCTACTTGTTGTATTTTCCTGTGGTATGAAGTGTCTTATTTTTTCGACATTTTTATTAAATGTTGTTTTCAATAGCTTGATTTATAGAGGCTTGAACTTGGTTAGCCAATATTAACAATACTCTTAAAAAAAGATTTAATAATGTCATTAAAAAGGATTAATTGTAGGAATTTTACTGGAGAATCCAATTGTGCATGTTTTTAGAAATATTTAAAAGATACTGTTTCTCTTCTTTATATTTTTTGTCTGTCCTTCTTTATTAAATGTAGAATTATTGTAATATTATTTATTTCTATGATTATTAATGGTAAGAGACTTTTCTCAGGGTGCCAAATGAATGAAGATAAATAACTGTGTCAGAACAAGATCATCTAAATAGTTTTGAAAGTTACATTTTTTGACAAAGCTCAGATAAATATTGTAAAAAGTAGATTTTTTACACTTCCATTTCTGATCAATAAAGTGATTCGTTCTGCTTGCTTCTCTTATTAATATCGTAAATACCCTTAAGGAAAAGTTGCTCAGTTCTGTATTGACTTTTGCTCTCTGACTTTTTCATCCTATTGCGATATAGATTTCTAAATATTTTTTTCCCCTGTGGGCTTAAGACTATTCGGTATGTAGCTCGCAGGATTACGGGATTAACATATTTCTTTTTTATCAACCTTATTGATTTCTTTGACATCTTTGCTAACAGTTGTAGGTGGTGGATGTCTTGATAGATTCTTGGATTTGTCTTGTATCTCTAGTAGTTAAATTTTTGGTCTGCTTTGTTGATGTTTTTCATTTGGTATGGAATGTGTTGCTCAATGTGTCTTTGGTGGACATTCTCCTGTAGTCTGCTTCTACTTCTTTACAACATTGTTTTTTTTTCCCAGTTTGAAGCATGGCAAAAGGGTTTGCCACTGTACTGACTCAAAGTAAATTAGAATAGATTTCAGCTCTCTAAGGGCAAACGTTTTGTTCAGGCCCATTTGTCTTTTTCTGTGCTCCTTGTGTCCTCATTTTCTTCCTGGTGATGAGTATGAGTCTACCATTGTGTAGGTTCACTGCAAACTGCAGCTCATCTTGACTTTGTACTTCTTGTTTCTTGAGTTTTTGTCCTTATTGAAAGTGGTTTAAGCATGTATTTGTGTGTGTAGGGATGTATCAATGGGTTGTTTTTTTAGGTGAGGGAAGGATTTAGAGGTTGAGTAGACAGATCTGTTAACTAGACTGAAAGAGAACCCTGCACTGTTGAAATAGCTGTCTGAATGATTTCTTGTTTCTGTTTCTTGTGTCCAGCTGCCACCACTGTCATTATAAAATACAAAAATCAAAGTCCCTTTAATCATCTGTTAGATATATATTATCGTCCATCATCATTGCCTTTCTCACCTTGCATCAGGGAATGGGCCATGAACAAACACTTTCTACCTTTGCCTATCCTGGGTTAGCCTCTTGATATTATTCCATGTCTTGCCACTTTTCTGTATATCATTCTCTCTGACTCTTCTCCAGGTTCCAGGTGGCCATTCCCTTGATCTCTTACCCTGTAGATTCCAATGCAACAATCTCTTTGTTATGCAGTAGAACTGAATGCTTTGCCTCTGTTCAGCTTGTTAATGGCTTCCAGAATCTCTTTATTGAAGGAACATCACAGCAAATTGATAAATCATTTCTTGCAGGCAGGATGTTTAGCAGATTACTTGGCGGTGGTCTGTTCAAGAGGCTGTTGAAATGTTCTTCCCCTTGTTTCGATTTTCTGCCTTCCAGAAAATGGTTTTCCTGTCTTGGCCCTTCAGTGGTGTTTCTGGTTTCCCATATTTTCCAGGAAGAGTCTTTGCGGTTTGGTAAAGGATTTTCATGTGCCTCCCTGCCTGTGCTTGCTCTGCCCTCTCTGCAAATCTGTTCATGGATTCTACCTTGTATTTTTTTAGTGATCTTTTGACATTTATAGCTGTTGTTCTGTACAATTTTAGGGCATCTGCTCGTGATTCCCATTTCGATTTGCATTCACCTCTGCCCTCATTTGTCTTCTGTTCCCACTCACATCCAGGGAAAGTTGGCTAATCCATTCCTTATGCTCCCATTTCTTCTCACCAAGTACCTACGGGCACGTTGAAGTAAGGACTTCTTTGACCTTTGTCTAGTGCATCTCCACCTCCATGTCCTCTCCACTGAGATAGGCCAAAAGTTGAAATCTGTTAAACTACTTCTCTTTTTTGAATCCGTTTAAGACGTTTACTTGGAACTTTGTCCTTTTGGTACCAGCACTAGTTTTGTGCTTTTTGATACACTAATTTAGTTCTGCTAGCCGCAGATGATGATCCAATCCAGTGTCTGCCCCTCTCTGTACTGCAATATCTTCCACTGAACATCAAACCTTAGCTAAGATTTATCTCGCAACTGTTGATTCTTGAGTTTCTGTATGTTGCATGTTGTTATAAAAAAGGTTAGGTTCATACCGAAGCACAGATGCAATTATTAAAAAATAATGCTCCTTACCTCGAATATAAACTAATAAACCATTCTTTTTTAGTTGTCAGAGTTTCTCTATTTTGAGCCTGCTTCTTTTTTCATGTGTGTCTCAAGATGACCCGGCTTTGTCAAAACAAAAAATAATAAATAATAGTAAAATGAAATTGCTTATTTAAAAGTTCTCATAGTCTTTCACAAACAGTTGTGCTCTGGTTGCTACTTTTTATAATCTGTACTTGTCAAACTCAAATTAAATTTTGTGTTTACAGTCGCATCCAAACCGCTAAGACACAAAGGAATTCCAATGACTGTGAACCGAGGTGGTGGTGGTACCAATGCCACATCACGGTTTGGAAGCAGCGGTAAAGAAAGAAAGTCCTCTACATCGTCTTCCCCCGGGTCTTCCCCTATTCCTGGTAGAAGAAGGCCAACACACTCACGACAGGCTTCACAACCAGATGTAAGTCACTTTTTGTGATAGGTTGAAAGGTTCATTTTTTTTTTAAAGACTTGTTTGTTTTGATATGTTTTATCTGTTTTGATCTGGATCGATAACAACAATCTGTTTTGATATGTTTTATCTTGGGTATCAAAAGCAATCAACTTAACGAACAAACCTGTTGATTTTATATTTTCAAGAAAAATGGCATTTCAACTTATTATATTTTGTATTAAAGATCCTCTTGCATAGCTGTCAGCATATTGGAAAGTCAGTCTTATCGTTGTAATTGTCTAAATTTCCAACACACCTGCTTGGGTGATTGGAGGGCGCCACTGATAAGGGCCTACTTTTACTCTCTGTTGTTTTTGTCTATCTGTCTTACTTTTTCTTAACACCGAATGACCATTATTTTGTCGATGTGCTTTTGTTTACTCAAACAAACAAACAACACACCTGTCATATTGTCTCTGGAGAATTGCTCACATGTCAGGAAAGAAGCTAATATTCTCATGAACGGTGATCAGCTAAGTACTTTTTTCTGCCATGTGTCACTTAAAATCAGAGACTACAAAACTCTGAGAAGAGTTATTATTATGTTTTGAGTAGTTGTAAAAGCCTGATGTTTAAATCTTCAGATATACATTAGTAGTAGCTGATTTGTTGTTTCAAAATTCTAAAGTATGAACTTAATCAGAATGTGATTTTAATAATGTTTAAGTATTTTTTGTTGTTGTATTGGTGGTAATTGCAATGTTCTGCGATGTTCAGGCAAAATAAGGTATTGTGTAGAATTGCTATGAAGTTCAAGTGAAATAATTTGTATTTTTGTTTCACTGCTTTCTTGCTGGATTCAGATCTTTGTCATTTTATTTTCTTTGATTTTGATACAGATACGCAGTTGTACAGGCCAGCGAGATATATCGAACGTCAAATTGAAAAATGTCGACAAGAAACTGGCAGATACCATCCTGAGTGAAATTGTGGACCAGGGACCTTCTGTAACGTTTTCTGACATTGGTGAGTTTTTGTTTCAGGACTAACGGGGCTGAGTGTGGGGTTGAGAAAATTGTCTCATTGAAGATACATTAGATGTGATCTATTCAAAATACATGTGGTGAAAGATTCTTTCTTCCTGAGCACCACGGAATAGCTACCCTCACACAATAAATCCTCCCAGGCTCTGCCTCGCTGACTCCACGGAGTAGCTATAGAAATTTAATAACAGATAGCATTTGTATAGCGCAAATCCCTGCTCAATAGCAAGCTCTATGCACTTCACAATTTATACTATTACCCCAGCAGACCTGAGAGCATTCTGAAACAATCTCAATTTCCTAGGAAGCACACAATGCTAGCGGCCATTTAAACGCGCTAAAACACTAACATACTGACAAGGTCTTTTGCTGTCTGGCCGGGTACCCGTTCCCACCTTGGTGAAGTGAGGAAAATTCGTGTAAAGTGCCATTCCCAAGGACACAACGTCGGGCCCATGGCTCGAACCCCTGAACCCGCAACCTCACAATTACGAGTCCAGTAGCCTAACCGCTATCCCACCGACGCCACATTTACCATGGAATAGCTACTCTTTGTAGAATTGGTACACTTATTCAAATTTCAGAATCTGAGTACTTGCAAATGGATCGAATTAATTATGTTTTTGAAAGGAATGTAATTTAGTTCTAGAAACTGATTTTTTTTGTTTTTGCAGCTCTGTTTTATCAAGTTGTTTTTTTGTGAAATGCAAATTTTTTTTTTGAAATTTCATTGAAAGATACACCTTTTCATCATGTCTGGTATCAAAATGAAGAGAAACACAATTTTGCCTACAGAAACTGAGAAAACTAGGTCAGTCCAGCATTTTGAAACAATGTACCATGTGCAAATGTACGCTGTACTTCATTGTTAGTTTGTACTGTAAGGTAGGTTGGCGCATACATTGGCGTTTAGCAACACTAGCAGTTCGGGTTGAGCAGGCCAAAGCCTTATTTTAAAGACTGTGAAATGTGCACCCCAGCCTACTTTCATGGATCTGTAAAGTTTGAAAGGCTGTAGTGGGGTAAGAAATAAATTAGGTGTTTTCTTAGCACATCAGAAATTTTCAAGAACACAGGTTTGCTTCTCTGTTTATAAGACAGTTTCAAAATTGTACTTTTTCTCGTCGGCCACAATAACATAATTTTATAATGTTCTCAACTGTACACAATCTTACCCTATTATCTGATTTGATGATTTTTGTTATAACAATTCTAAGAATGAGAAATTTGCAATCGGAATAATTTGTTTCAAGCTTTATTTTTAAAAAGTAACTTTTTTTGATTACCTTCATGAGAAAAAGTGTTCAGTTTGTCCAATTGTTCAATAGCGTGGTAGATATATATTTTGTAAAAATGATTTTTTTCTTTCTTACCAATGGAAAAGACAATGCGATTGCAGATTTTTATATACATATTTTTTCATGCCCTAATTTGTTGTGTACTCCACAGCCGGACAAGATACAGCGAAACAGGCTTTGCAGGAAATTGTGATACTTCCAGCATTTAGACCAGAGGTACCTGGATAAGCAGATTTCCCTTTTGTTGATCACTTTTCTTTATTTCAAATTACGTACATGCATACCTAATTGTCTTCTTCTCTTACCCAGTGTATGTTTAAGTAGCACTGTGTAAAGACAGTGGGACAAGGGTAGTCAGAGAAAGCTGTTAGTAATAATGTAGAGCTTTTGCAAGCTTTGGTGGGGCGTGTTAGCTTAATGGACCTTTCAGCACAAGAATATTTAGGAGATGACATTTATGTTTGTCCACTTTCGATAGGAATAAGCCAATATTCAGAGAACTTTGAAAAACCTGTTGAACTGAATTCCTTTGAATTCTGGGGGGTGGGGTGTTAGAACTGTGAATTGTGGATCATGAGGCAATTCTACGTTGCAGCCAAAAGTAAATTTCATCATACTGTTGTTCACAAAATTGAAATGCAAGGAAAGTGTAAAAAAAAAAGTGAGGCCATGTAATGAGATTTAGATCTTTAAAACACATTCAGTAAAGTGAAAGTGGGTGGTTGGCGGGTGCTCTGGTGTGGCTTGCTTCTTCTTTCCTATCAATCATCTATCGTCCTTATCTCCCCTTATTCTTTTTTATGTTTGTCACTCTGTTGTAACAGCTCTAATCTCCTGGTGCTCATATGACCTTTGCAGTTGCGAGCACCGTAAAACCTCTACTAAACTAACTAACTAGTAAAGTGAAATGGTGCTGCAATTGTCTGTGATGTCAGTGTTCTTGGAGGGATGGTGTTTAGTTGTTCTCAAATTAGTACTAGCGGTACCATATTTCTCTGTGGAAACTTGTGTTAAGTTCTGTTTTCTATCTTTGTATGATTCATGTTTTGTTTTTTGTTTTTTAAAGTTGTTTACTGGTCTCCGGGCACCTGCAAGAGGGCTGTTGCTGTTTGGGCCACCCGGAAATGGCAAGACATTATTGGTATGTTTTTTGTATATATGTATATGATTAGTTTGTGTTGGTTTACAATGGTAATGCACGTTCTATTCATAAATGAAAATGTTTGATGTCTCAGAGTTTTTTAAAATTTTTTGTTGGATAGTTTGTTGTGTTTGTGAATTGTTAATGATTTCTGGACTAACTGCCCACAGGTGCTAAGATGTTTAATCTGTGATAGCTTCATATGAGAATCACAAAGCATGCCTAGTTTATCCTTATTTTGTTTAGATTTTTTTAAAATTTGTTATTGTCTATTATCAAATGATGGTGCATTTGATAAAAATGTATTGATATGTTTGATATATGACAATCCTATTGTGAATGAAGATTTATTAACAGGCTTTTTCAAAAACAGTTCTAAAATATAATTATTGAAGGTAAAAGCTGCAGGTAGCACAACTGTCGACGATGAAACTGACCATTGCCATCGGTCTCTGATGAAAGTTTGTCATTTTATAAACTGTTGAAAAAAAAATTAGATAATTTAAATTGAATTTGTAGTTTAGGTTCAGATCACAAGCTATATATGAAAGGAAAGCATGGACTGGAATTGTTGTTTTCTGTCTTGTCTCTTATTTTCGTTTTGTTTGTCTTTTTTATTTGCATTCTGTAACCTCTATGTAAGGTTTTACAGAAACCACTTCATACAGACTTACCCCTAATTTATTTGGTTAAGTAGTCAACATCGTTTTTATTTCCAAAGAAATCTTGGGTTACTAAAGTTTTCAGTTTTATACTCATTGGTGAACTTTTTCACAGGCTAAAGCTGTTGCCAATGAGTCAAAGTCGGTCTTCTTCAACATTAGTGCATCAAGCCTGACATCAAAATGGGTAAGATCCAGAACAAAAAGACTTGTGTAATGAAAGGACCAGTATTCTTTTTTTGCTTTATCTAACATAAAATCCTAACATGTGGAATCACTTTTCAAAAGTCATTTTTACATTTTTGTGTTTCTTACTTCTAGTTATGGATTAAATTTTCATTAGTCTAGCTGTAATCTGTCATTTTGTGAAGCTTCTGTCACTCTAAAGCCAAATGTTAGTTTGAGGTTGGCCCACATTGGTTGTTAATAGAGGCTGCTACTTCCATTACTTAGATGCAGTAATTCCTTGCTTTTTAAAATAAAATTGTACACATAGGATATGATTCAGAGAGTAGGCTAATTCATTTAATTTATATCATCTCATTTCTGGTTTGTTACTGTGATTTGTCTCTCTTGGCCATGTTATTTTTCTAGCATCACACCAAGTGGTATGCTTGTGGTTGGATAGTGCCACTGGAAGGTCCTTCTTCTTTTCTCTCCCTCTATTTTTCGATCTGTCTTTGTTGGGTTTTTTGTCTGACACTAAATGTCTGAATTGTGTCATTGTGTTTCTCTTTACTCCAACAGCAACCAACTCATTCTTAGTTCATTCCTCTCGTTGATTGACATTTCCTGCCGTTGTTCACAGGTCGGTGAGGGAGAAAAACTTGTGAGGACATTGTTTACAGCAGCGAGACAACTGCAGCCTTCCATTATATTTATTGGTGTGTATCCACACTCTTGTAGTTTGAGCTAGCCTTCTTTGCTTGATCAGGGGGATTGGGGAGGTGGGAGGGGAGGAGGAGGAGGAGAAAGAGGAACCAGTTCTTTCTTCCCAGCAATATGGTGATTGTAGGGAAAACTTTTGCATCTTTGTATGAATAGCCACAGTAGGGAAAAATTCACATGAGTGTAAGTAAAAAATTCCATAGGTGAGGACAAAGTAAGGACAGTTGAAAAGATAACTGTTGGTTAGCTCCTGAAGATAGAAACTGCAGATAGAAAACCTTTCAAATACAGATTCAGTTTTCTTTGCGTTTTGATTTTTTGATAGTATTACCCAGCAAAAAAACATTGTGTGCTACAGTGATTTTGATACGTAATTATTCTTGACACTTTGCCCTTTCCTGTAATTGGCTTAATGCATTTTGAATCCCATAAATGCATCCTGTGGTTGATCCCAAATTTCATGCAGTGTTTGCTCGTCCTAACTGATGGGGCTTTTTTCCCTTTGTTTTTTTTTTCCAGATGAAATAGACTCCTTGTTGTGTGAACGAAGAGAAGGAGAAAATGATGCAAGTAGGAGACTTAAAACAGAGTTCCTTGTACAGTTTGATGGGGTAAGGACTACTACCATAATATTACATTTTCAAATAATTCTGTGGAAGATTTTTGGGTGCTGTGATGTGATCTTCTTCTTGGTTCCGAGTTACTTTTGTAGGTATTTGTTTCTGATGAAATAAATGGTTTTTATCATGCTGAGTTCCTAAAAGCAATTTCATATAAGTGACTTATCAATAACTTTCTAATAAGACGCTCTACTTATGTTACATGCTAGAATATTTTATAGTGTCCATGTCTCGCTTTATCCTTGTATTCCTCTTTTTCACTTCCACTTTTGTGTTTCGCTTTGTGTTCCTATGAGCATTAGCATATTTATGTTGGTGTTTGTGCACCTTGATCCTTTTGTTGCGTCTTTTAATTTTCTCAGAAATCTTAATTTGTTGATAAAAGTTCAGAGCATGGAGAAAGGCACTAATGTAGATAATAATAAATTGTCATCTCGTTTGATGAATGCATCACCAGCATTTGGTATAAGAGGAGCATTAGGTCTGTGGAATTGGGCAATATTCAGATGTGTTTCCTCTTCCAGTTTTTATTTTATTTTCAAAATTGTAAATTTGGGAAAAATGTGTGTTACTGTTCAAAACCAGGTGGCAAGCAGTGCTGAGGACAAAATACTTGTGATGGGTGCCACAAACAGGCCTCAGGAACTTGATGATGCTGTGCTTAGGTATGCTTTTTACCACGGTTTTTTTTTTTTGGTCTTAACTCTTTAAGCCCTGAGTTTTTTCTACCGTTTCCCGGAGTTTTTATTCTACAGTCACCTAAACTTATTGCACCATGTCTCATTATAACCCCAAAAGTTTGCCTCCAACTTCTAAATAGCGGAAACAAAGGCTTAGTCATTAATAAGAAAGATTAGTTCGGGAATAGTTCAGAAAAACAAGGAAAAACTAGCACAAAATAAAACGAAAGAGTTGTCACTAGTACTGGATGCTCCCAGCGTCCGATGGGGTTAAAAAAGTTAATGTTTCTAAAGATTGAAGTGGAAAGTGAAATAATTTTGGCTGTTCTTGACAATGCAGTTTTGTACTCTGTTTGGAGAAGAGAAAAAGAGATGATGATAGGGGACCGACATCTGTTGCTGTGATTGTAACAGTAAAAACAGTACATAGTGAATGAGCCCTAGATCTTTCATCCACAGGCTAGTGATATTGCTACTGAAATGAGGAAAAATTCATACTACCTGCAAAATTTCCAGTGTTTTATTCTGCTTTCCTACTCAAAATACAGGCTACCATACTGTTTGTTCAAAGTGTTTTACTCTCTATAAATGAAATGGAGGAGCATAAATCTAGGAAATCTTTGAATTAATAAACAAGACATTTTAATGTGATCAGGAACACTTCCAGGGCCCTGCTATTTAGTGTCTGTTAATTTCAGAGGGCGTATAATTGCTAATTTTCATGCGCTGTATTACTGGGTGTCAAAACTTGTAAAGCACAAACGATTTCTCAGATAAAAGAATGTCGTTGCAAAATTTTGAAGTAGCAGTACTTGGTTGTGGCTTTTGGTTAAGAAATGAATAGAAGATTTTTCTCTCTTTAGTCCCATGTTGTTGAACCAGTCATGGTCCATATACCTTTACTTTTGGTTTTTTTCTTTTCACTAGCTTGTGTTCTCATTTGTTCCTCAGACGGTTTCCCAAGCGTGTGTATGTGATGATGCCAGACTGCCCCACCAGGAGGGCAATGCTTTCTCATCTGCTTTCCAAACATGGGAATCCCCTGTCTCAAAAGGAACTTGATGGCCTTGCCAAGTGAGTCATAATTTGTTTTCTTTCTAGTCTAGTAAGTTGAGTCTATAGATTAATAACATAGTGAGTGCGGATTTTACGACTTCAGAAGTGTGTTCTGACTTTTTTCTTGGATTTACTTATAGTCGGATCTCTATCTTGAGTCAGACTCTCCTCTTTGTGTTTTGTCTATATTATTATGAACTTGTTCAAGATGACCACTTTTTTTCTTGACAATGGGTGGTCACCGAAGACATTTTTGACTGTATTCGTGCTTCTGTTTCTTTTGGCAGACACACCGAGGGTTATTCTGGCAGTGACTTAAATGCCTTGGCTAAAGATGCTGCTTTGGGACCTATACGAGAGCTGAGTGTCACTGAAGTGAAGGAGATGGATGCAAACAGGGTGAGTTTAATGTTCATAATAGTCAGTCAGAATTTATGCTAAGACAGTTAATACTTTGGTGACCAGTGAGGAGTATACCCGTCTCCTACCACCACCCTATGCAGAACCAGCAATGAAGATAATATCTGCTATGAAGTATGTTTCTTAAATACTCGTCCCAAATGTCTGAAGATTTCGACCTTCGAAGTACTTAGATAAAATCGGAGCACTTTGATTTTTTTTTGTCCGTCCCCGTAACCCGATACTCTGTGACCCCGGTCACCGGGTCAGCGCCGCCGGTTCACTGCCGATGCCGAGTTACGATTGTTTTCTTATCACACGATGTTTTTTAAGCATATAAACTGAGGCAGTAAACAAAAACTATTCTAGTGATCTCAAAGAAAATCACACACACTGAGCGATCAATATAGTGTGGGCACGTAGAAGCGATCGTGAAACTGTACTGGGTACTGTTGCAGACATACGGATGCCATAAAACTGTATAGTAATTATGCAAAGTTGTAAAGGGGTCTGATGTTTTAAGTAAAAATTGAACATGATCTTTGCTTTTGATTT